CCGAAACTGGAACGTCAAGCGCAGTAAAAAAATATTAGTCTCCCCACGACCGGGATCACACTTCCGCCTTGTTCGTTACGTTTGACCTCTTATGGACAATATACATAAGCGATCCTGTAGTTTAAGTCCGTTCTCGGCCAAGAGATCAAGAGATGCGGCGGTGGCAGGGACGTCGCGGTGGCAATCCAATCCAGAACGTCGGGACGGGCCTAAGTGTGATCGATGTGTTAGCCGAAGCCCTAGGATTGCTGACCGAGGCCGATCGCATAATTAAACGACAATGGAACTCGTAAAGGGAAAACCGTTGGCGCAAAGTTTATTATATGAACACTCACGTCGACACGATAGCTTCTTCTCCTCCTGTTACATGACCTAACAGTAGTTTCCCGGCCACGTAAACGTTACAAATTGATTTACAAAAACGTTATTACCCAACCGGGTAGCAAGAAACCTTGAAAGCGTTTTCGGGAATTTTTATTATTACTATGTGAACATTGTTGAAGACAATAAACGCTTTATTGCTATGACGTATAGTAGAATGTCACAGCCGGAAGCACACACACTTACACAGGGCAGTGCCGACTAGAGGTGACAACATCGCTGGCCTGGCCGCTGTAACAAAACCGCGTTCATTTATTTAATGGGACTGAACGATCGAGTCAATTAGCCTTAAGCAGCTCGGTTAGCGAATTTCTGACAATTTTGTTTTTATGGGGAAATTTTTCCCCATAATAGTATTATCAATGGCAGAAATTAAGAGAACATGGGATACTAAAAACCTTAAAACTTGAAGATAATGCTGTTAAAAATGTTTAGGTTTTTTTTTTTAGCTAGAGATTTGTTATATATGACCAACTTTTAACAATCCTAATTCAATAACTTAGTGTTTTGAGTAAAGACTCCCTAACTTTCCACCAATGCCTACTGTTCTATACATTATTATTGTACAGCATAATAAGCGACATAATAATTGTTTTGGCCAACCCATTAATGAGAAATTAATTGTTTCACATTCTTATGTGAAGTTATTGTAAACAAACATAATAATAATGTCTGTTGTCAAACCGTTTAGTGAAACACATGCGCCAAAGTGTATGAAAGAACAATAGTTATAGTCTTTCAAAAGGCAACGATTGCATTTCTGATTACCATAATAGAAATTAACGAACAGGCGCTACGCGAAAAATTAATTTTGTAAAAATTAGTGGTACGGTCGCGGATGGCAGACGGAGTGGAGAGAGAGAAGATCAAGGTTACAACACTTTCTAACGACACCGCAACGACCTTACAAGTAGTGTGTGGCGAGCAATAATTAGTCTCGCAAACAGACGAAGGAGTTTCTTTTTAGCACTTAACTCACGAGGCTTGATACAGCTAATTCTGAGTTCCACACAACACATCTACAAGTCGTTCGTAGTATCATTGAGTATATATTACAATATATACTCAATAGTAATATTTAACGGCCGTGGAAACAACCACATATAGCGCTGAAATTATACCTTAACGAATTCGCTTTGTAGTCAACAGGCCAGAACATCTGCTATAATATGTAGATAAAATAATTGAGATTTCTCATCAGCGGTTTGATGATTCATCATCGATATCCCCATTATACATGTATTTAAATTTCGTTTTTTTTGTTGCATAACAATAATTATATCTATATGAAAATAATAATAATTTTATTTCATAATTATAGTACCATATGAAATTAAGATTTATCCTATCCCCCAGCTTAAACATACCAGATTATTGTATACCCACACTCCATTAGACTATTAACTTACAAAATGACAGCGTAAGGACATATCGTAAATCATTGATTTTCATAATAAATACACACGGAGTATTTGTATAAAAGATCAGATCGGCTCTATTTATGCTGCCAATCTATTAGTCATTATTTCGATGGAGTGGAAGAAGCAATGTAATAACCTAGTTTATTGAAGCCATATGCCCTATTCATAAAAAAAAAAGTTTGCGCGTCAACCATAGAGTAATAATAAAAAAAAATGAACTAACATATACTAGCTTGTATGCGATAGTGAAGTAAATAGTAAGACTAAAACCAGTATGGCCTCCACAAAAGAAAAAGAAAAATCCACGTTGTTAAGCGATTGGTACTCTATATGATAAAAAAAGTTTTACCTCTTAACTTTCAAGATACTACAACCATTGATATCTTATCACCACGATATATTGAACGATATTTTTTTTCTTCTAACTTGGCTACAGTTATATAGACCCACTGGTGTTAATTTTTGAATGTCGCAATCTTGTCACTATCACACCGGACGCTTTTTGTCAGGAGAACACGTTCATCTTAGGGTATTTATAGTGTTCCAATCGTGAACGTCGTGTTTCTTACACATAAGACGACTCAAAAATACATTTCTAAACGCAACGCGGCAATCCTCAAAAAAAAAAAAAAAAATGCAAACCTCCACGAGACAGTAGAGTTTACTCATTTACGTCCTTACCATCTAATCCGTTGTTAGTGACATTTTTATCCATGGGATCCGCAGCTATAAAACGTATAACGTTGTACCTAGCAATAATTTGAAAAAGAAAATTAAACTCATAACAAAAAGTCTAACGCAATCGGTTTGACTTGGCATGAATATCGAATATACTCCACGATTTGTGGTAATATACTAATATAACGACATATATATATATATATATAATATAATATACACGTGTGTAGTAAGACTGCTTCAATACATTATAAAGGTTTCGGATATCAATACAACTGCTCGTGTTGCTATTTTAAGTGTATATATATATATAGCTGTCCAGGTTAGTTTTTCCTATTAAGTTCTATAACCAACGATTTTATAGATATGTTTTTTTCTATCAGTAGACACCTAAATCGATATTACACAAATAATAAACCTGAATAGACAAATAAAATATGCCAGGACAATGGGATAGTAAAGCCCGTATCATCCACGGGTTTGTAGATAATAAAAAATAACAAAATTATAAACATTTCCTTGGTAGTTTAAATGATTAAGAACGAAACAAGTCAGGGAAACTACGATTCCGTATTGCACTCGATAAAAAAAGCGCAACTATATTATAGTATAGATCTTTTTATGTTACGATAAGATTTGGGGTACGATATAGTGGTCATTGGGACGCAATTCGCTCATAAATTTAGGCCCTCTAATCGGTATCTGACGATTCTACTATTCCTAATATTATGCAGAACGTGGAACATTTTTAAAGATAGTATAGCCTTAGCTTCCCAGCGATGTTTATCGAAAGGGCATTCATTGAAATGAATCACAACTAGTTATGATGATGAGTGATGAACTATTATTACTAACTAATTATAATAATTATTAATATTAAGTTATTATTAATTACTGGGTGCCATAAGAAGGAAACCAAGTTAAGCTCACGAGTAGGTACATTACAATATTAACTTCGTGTGAATTCTAATTTAAAGTCCGTCAGAAAACATCAGTTTTTAAAACATACAAACATTGTTCCGAAAATTACACGCAAATCTCAATTGATAAAGTTTGAACTAATTTCCGTATCTAATTGATTGATATATTTATTTATTCATAGGAGTGAAGTGTTGAGAAATGGGTTTCACCTTTATATTACCACATAATCAGAATCTAATATAATTGGTAATCCCATAATGTTTATAGAGTATACGACGAGAGCGAAACTCAATCGTCTCTATGGTTGGCGTCACGGGCGACTAAAAAAGAATTGACCCAATTACTATACCTACACGAAGCACTACAATATTATTGTCTATTAACCGCCGTATAAATGTAAGTATATTCTATCGTCTCTATTATTCACAGTGAAAGTGTATGATGACGATGGTAATTTACCCGCAATTGCTTATGTTAACAATCCATTAAAAAAAATATGTATCTTTTACAAATTTTGAAACCCGTGTCGACACAGATTCCAAAACCGCAAAAACTATTATTATTATTATTATAAATACAAACCAAGCGCATCGTTAGAATTTTGTATTATATTATTATTGTTATTTATGTTTTAGTAGTTTTACTTGGATCACCCAAACAGAAGGTTGACGAGTACACAATTGTTCACCGATAATAATATAAAAGCACCCGTTTACTATATTGTATTACTATGTTTTTACACTGCAGAGAAGCTGCTAATGTCTGCTTTATAGTAATACTAATGTGTTTATTATCTAAGTCCAATAGAATGAAGGTTAACGCTAGCGAGTATGGTTTAAATGCGCGTAACAGACGTCTTGTTATGGACATCGACTATAGTTTATCAATAAACATAACAAATAAAAGTCTAATTTGTTTTTTCTTTATTATCGGGGATTTTAAATGATCTGTTTTTTGATAATTAAGACAAAAAAGCTTAATAAAATGTTGACTTCTTAAGATGGTCCCATTTTAGTTCTGTAAAGATATACGAGTTCTTTATCTGCTTTACTAAGTTATGTAAATTTTTTAATTTTTTTTTTTTAAATTTGCGTTTTAGTATCGAACAATTTCCAAACTTATTTTGTTTAATTAAAAAAACTTATGTTTATAAATTAAATTCGGCTTTCAACATAACCCAGTTAATATAGGCCAATAAATTCGTATCTTCTTACAAAATTGAAATTGGACTAGCCAAAGTCTGATAATTTTGTACCAGCAAACATATTTTATTATGACAAAAATGGCTCTTACTTGTGTAAACAATTGTATAAGTTAAATTAATACCTTGAAGCTTACACAAATTAACCTAAAAATAAATTGACATGGTCGAAATTGATTAAATTAAACCATTTTTTTCTTACTTATTGCCTATACAATAAAACACCTTAAAACATTTAAAATCCCCTAATAAGGTTAGGAAATGTATTTCTGTAACGAGCTACCCACAATTTTGGCAACGCTAACCAAGAAAAGTCCTTTTATTTTCAAATCATAAAAAAAAGGAATCGTGCAATGAACTTATTTTTTTGCTGAAAATAACATAACATATTTCTTTACCTGGACAGGAATTGTGGTGCTTTTTTAATTCGGCCGAACTGCCGCCGCAACTGCTGGCTGTGGAAGACGCTGAAGCGGTGTTGGCGTCGCTAGCCGTCCTGTTCGATGAGATCGTGTTGCCCGTCCTGCGTTTTCTGAGACCATACGTGTGTACAGGAACTATGAGTTTGGGCCTAGGAATGGCGAAATTGTCTTGTTGCTGCTGGCCGTTGCCGGCGTCCGCGCCGTTCGGGGCGACCGCTACGGTGGTGGCCGGCGCGGTACACGCCAATCGGTGGTGATGATGTTGGTCGTTACGTTGATCGTTGCCGTTGTCGTCTACGGCGGCCGCGCACCGAAACCGATCGCCGCCTGTGGCCACTTTCTTGGGCGCCGGATTTCTGAACGACAAGCTTTTCTTGATCTTAGCGGCGGACGAACGACACAGGTCCCTGGCGGCGGCGGCCGCGCGCTGCTCGTCCAACATCTCGGCCGCCACTCGTTGCCGAGTCCTGTACCGATGGGCGGTGGTGTCGTGCCGGACGCTCTGCACCCGACTCAGTGGTTTGGCCCGCGGACGTCTCGACGACGGCGTCTGTAGCGCGTCCTGCTGTTGTTCTTCTTGGCTACTGTTGCTGGTGTCGCTGCTGCAAGCCTGTCGCTTTTCCGACGGGTTTCTGCGGCCCATTGCGCCATCGCCCAGGCTACCGCCACCGACGTACTCGTCTTCGTCCTCGTCGTTATCGTCGTCCGCGGCCGTCGTCTCCCACGGCCGCCGCCGGTCTTTGCTCTGTGGCCGCAGACACCACTTAAGACGACACTCCTGCCAGCTGGCTTCGTACGAGTTCATTGCTTCCGGTTCTCCTCCGACCGGCTCGTCGTCCAACTCTAATTGCTTCAACGCCGAGGGCAGGCCGTCCACCAGAAGAGTTGCTTTGCCCGGATATTTGAAATAGCGAATTTTCATTTTACGTCCATATTTGCGCCTTAGGCTGCTGTCGGATAGACCACAACGAATTTAGACAGTTATTAATTATTATCATAAGATCATTTTTCTTACAACGGTTTACATTGATTTTTACTTTATTGCTGTACAATGGCCGGTTCAAGAAAGTCTATGCGCGATTTGTATCGGTTCCCGGCTCGACACCGCTCAGGTAAATTTAATTTATAACTAATGCTCTTACGTCTATCGGACGAATAACTCTACTTGTTTTTAACTCAAGTACTAACAAATTTTAAAGGAAGAAATTTGTTGTGGGTGATCAATATTTTTGTGGGTTGATAATAATTTGGGAGACGAGCAGAACATTATAAGTTTTTCACGGAAGTCCAAAATTGCTTAGAATTAAATTTAAGTCAATAATGAATACTACGTAATTCGTAAATAGCAAGCATAATCAAGTAATCGAGATATTTTGGTAATGTATCTCTCTCATTCTAATATATACATGTGATTAAATACTTAATCTTAATGAGACTAATTTGATTTTATTCACAACATTTAGCTTTGTTTTCAAGCAAATTTATTAGAAAACATTTAATAGTATAATAGGAAATATTATTTACATTATAATTTATTTATACCTATTTATTTAAATATGTTTTTAATAAGCTACAGCTGTTCCAGGTGAAAACATTTTTGTACAACTAAAAATTGTGAAGGTATTACTTAAATTTTTGTTTTCTATTATACAATTTATTACAAATTCTAAAATCGAATCTAGTAATGTCTTCTTAACCACATAATTCCTCAAGATTCAACTATACACACCATCTTCGTTAGGCTTTCATAGACCTCATCTTATAAGGTGAGTGTTCGGTTTGTGAAACCGACTAAATGAATATTTTCCACGGTAAACGCAAAGCAGAATTAAGGAGGTTTTCACTTTTTGTCTACATTTAGGTCACCGACTTTATATGGAAATATCAATAAAACCATATAATAGAAAACATTTTATTAAATTTAATATCCTTGAAATCGAATTATATCGTTGTATGCAAACTATAAAGTTACTGGTAATGGAATGCGTTACATTGAAATACAATAATGATAAAAAAAAATTGATTTTCCTTGTACTGTGTGTCGAACGAAATGGTGTATACAAATAGAGTTCCATAAAACTGCAGTTATGAATTAAAAACATAAAAATATATATATATTAAGATGTTAATAATAGCATAATGTGACGTTTTTTATTCCAAAGAGTGGATTACAGTAATAACAATTTGGATGTATACATATAAATACCGTCTTTTTTTCTGCTTTAACCATTTACCAAGAAGAACCTCGTTTGTATTATGCGATAAATTAAATTAAAAAACAAAAATTGCTCATATTAAACAACAAAACCGCATGTGTTGAATAATATCTGCATATCATTGTAGACATTTTATGTTCGTGATTTCCAAAAGTAAAAAAATAATATTCTAAATATAATATTCTACGAAAATTAAACATGAAATAATAATTTATTACTATCCCCTCATACCGTAAAAAAATACAATTTTTTTCAAAATATTTGTTAATATTTTAAATATGTTTTATGAAATGTAAAAAAAAATTAACAAATTATTGTACCATATTATTGAAATTAAAAAACGAGCCTAATCAATTATTGCGGGCCTTGTATCAATGTCCATCTAATGGCCATCAAATATGAATATAAAATCCCAGATGACATAATAAAAAAAAGTCTGAACGACCACTTTTTAGTAGCATTCTATTTAGTAAGTCTAGGACATGCAGAGCTGTATAATCGGATTCAAATAGTAATAATGTAAATGTACTTTCTCCTTGCATATGCTTTTTAATATATTGTTCAACTTGACAAGGATTAATTAAAAAACACTATGTAGGTAGTAAACACTGACCAGGGATTTGTTGAATACGTCGTTTTTATGTTTAATAGCTTGACAACAAATTAAACAAGGTTACTGCGTTTGCGTTTATATAAGTCATCTTATTAAGAATATATATTATCAACGAGGCAATCCCAAATACTTGTTTTTATCATTATAATATGACGTTTAACAGTAATTGTCGTTAAAATTTTCAGAAAAAATTACCGCATCGTAAAAATCTGATTACCCTGTATATAAACATACACAATTTATATATATATATAACTGGCATAAACGCATATCATTATCATTATTATTATTATTGTAAATACTAAACGGTCTGGTCGGAACACGGTCGTTGTGAAATTTCGGGTGACTTTCATTTTCGTATCCTTGTTCTACACTACACACACAGTACACACGTTGCATACACTCGCCACACAGATCAGCACACCGGACAACAGCGCGAGAGAGTTTCATTTTATCGTATTAGATTTATCGCCAGACCTTGGAGAATGATACTGTTTTTATTTTGTTTTAACCCTTTCGAAATCGGTCCGACCCGGGCTACTCTTTCTGAAGGGAGACAGTCGTTGTCTAACCACAAATACTCACTTCGGCCGCCGTTGACCGTCAGCGTGACCACGTGGAACTCTGAGCCTACACACACAACGGCATAGTACCGTCTGAAAATTGGTTTTCTACAATAATTTAGATTTAGAATAATTATTATCATGTAAGCATATTTTTCTCTTTACCTTATTCAATACCAATTTCTTCTATCCGTCTCACTTAGCATTTATACATTTCTTCCACGAACAACTCTACTTATAGAACCCTCTATACTAATCTCTCCTACTATATTTACTATTTAATTTTCCTCCCCTTTCCTTAGAATAATGTAAATGTACATAACAAGTAATTTAACAATTTATATATTTAATAAACAAGAGCTACTGGATTATACTGAAAATATGATTTTAAATTTAAACATAGTATGCACTATGCATATGTCTTTTGACAATTGTTTTATAATTTATTACTAATGGTTTTTTAGAGGGGACGAAGGCGTGTGTTGGTTACTTTCGAAGGGTAGTATTACCACCGGGTTCACCACCGGCCCGCATCTACTGTCTTTTCTTTCTATCTAAGCAATATGAGTTTTATCGCCATGATTGTGAAACGGATCTGCGTGCGCGGTCGAAAGCAAAAATGCAAACGCACACCTTTTCGTCTGGAGTTATTTTTTAATATAATGTAAAACATGTAGGCCGACTAATACTGCTATTATACGTGTCAAACGATGTTGGATTACTCGTCATACGTCAATGATTATATTCTGGACTGTTTATTTGGAGCCGCCTTATTATTAAAAACGATAATTTTCCTTTCGTCGCCGTACTATGCAATTTCATTATGATAGCGGAGAGCGTTAGGTAAATACCGGGAAACGATAACACGACGTTGATAATTACTAATAATAATAATAATAACCGTTTTACTTTGTTATCAGACTGTAATTGTCCATAGTTGCTGTTATTATGGAATTCCTTATGGCAACCGTGTAAAGACAAGTAGAAAATATCAAAACCGTTTGTAAGAGAAATGTCTAAAAGGTGAAAAACGAGGATCACAAAATATTAACGGTCGATGGCTTACCGTTGTTGGGTCGACGCCCTGTGTTCTTAAAACACTGTTGGAAATTGTGATCCAAACAATTGGTAAGGAAGATGAGAACTTGCTTAAGTAAAACAACCAACAAACGCACAGACACACGCGCGCGACCGCACGGAACACGCGGGACGAACGTACGGGTAAAACGATGGACGGACGGACACTGCAGGCTCTCTCTCGAACAACACAACACGGACACTGTTCTTTTGTCGTACAGTGTGTGCAGCAGCGTACCGTCGTCGTCCGTCGAACGGAACAGCTGGGGCACATCCCCACCGCCGGCAACAACAACACACAGCTGCTGCTCCCCGGCCTATACCGTCGTGCGCGATTGCCGTTGTGCACAGCTACAAGTGCAACACTGGTACAACACTAGCAACAATCAGACAATTTATTTCTCTACAATTTTTGTACATTTTACAGATTACAGCGAACCGTCACCGACATCTTTCCACGACTAATCCGCACGGGAAACGTCCGGTGTGTCTCTAAACGATACCTTCGGTGTATGCCTTAACTGCATACTGAAAATTGAAAATATAAAAGGCGAACAGGCTTTATTTTATATTCAAAATTAGTGCAAACGACCGTTACTCATAAACCTCAAGTGACTAAGCCGCTTACTGGAAAAACTGCCCTATAAAATTCCACTTGATTTTCAAAAAAATATCATAGCTTATAAGATATAGTAACGTGTTACAAGGATGAGAATGTTCTCCATATCAGATTTGTTAAAAATGTATACAAACACTAAAAAAAAAGGTGTTAAAATCTATTCAAATTTTTTTTCAACTTGTATTTCGCATACAACCCCTATGTTTTGTAGAAAAAAACAGTACTTCTACTTCAAACAAACAGTTCCTTTTGAAAAATACTCTAATTTAAGTTTTGAAAAATGTTTGATTCTTCATAGAATTTACAAGGTTTTGATCCGAGGCACAAATGCAAAATTATTTTTAAAGTTTTTTAACGATTTTTATAATAACATTAAAAACGAAAATTAAAATTAAAAACAGACTAACTATTAAGAATTTTAGCAAGTTATAAAATTTTTAAAATGTCATGCCTCAGTTTCTAATAATTTTACAAAAAAGTCAAATCTATATGAAGTTTCGATTTTTTATTTTACACAAAACTGTATTCCATAATTTATTACAAAATAGCTTTTAATTTACTAAATATTACAAAATAGTAGGGTTTGACATCCTACTATCTAATGCATTATTTGTCTTTTGAGAAAATGTTTAGTTTTGTTGAGTGTTACTATTAACATGTTTTAAAAAGGTAACTTAACGAATTTAATGGGTTATTATCAATCTAACGTTTATAGGGGGGTTGGTTGTAGACTCAATTAATAATTAACATATTTTTTTCTTTTTTTATATTGAGTTTAGAACTACCTAGCTACATTTGTTAACTAATCTAATAAATGTTGGACGAAATTCGATTCGGTCATTACAAAAATTTTAAGTATACCTTTTTGTTAAAATATTTTCTTGCTGTTTGCGCATAGTATTGCACTATGAAACCGACCAAATAAAACCCCATAATACAACTACTAAATACGTTTGGGCGACAATCTGTTCATTGTCTGAACTCAAACTGTTGATATCATACGCACGTACGATTAGGTAAACAAGGAATTTTGATAATATTGTACTACTATATTTTGTCGTTTTGAAAAGAGTGTTTTCTTTGCGAAACTAAACCGAATCATACAAATATACATTAAGTCATTTACATTACATTATCAACGAAACAATCGGTTAAATTATTGATAAAATCCGTCTAGAATTTAGTTTTACTCTGCTAACAGCTTGCATACAACCGTGAATTTATTATGAATATATTTTCTGTGTTGATTTTACTTACAAAGTATGTACACCGACTCGTGCGTGGACAATCGTGCTTTGTCTTTCGACATTATGTGTACATGACAACGACATAAATAATATAATAAGTATTAAGTACCTAAACGGCTAATCGCCAACGATAAACTCATTACTCTTTGTCTGTGTGATAACGATCCACTTTACGTACAAACAGCGTTTAAGGATAGACAACTAACAATAAGTAAACATTGAGTAGAAGAAAAGAAGCGATAAGAAATTTTATATCAACTCGTCTGGGGTCATTTTTCCTTCAGTGATTTCCCTGGCTTGCCGTATACTCTCCTACATTGTATAATGACTAATTCTGTACCGATTACTGATAAGAAATAGTTAGAATGCACGAGCACCGTCCATTAATTTTAATATACCAGTTTGAAATGTCCATGACACCGCCCGTATGGTTACGCCTTTTTAAACACAAACATCTTAGCCAAATTAAGACTAAGGAAAGCAAAGGACCCAATACCTATCGTGTTATCAGTAACGTTTTAAAACAATAAAATATATGACTGAAAAGCTTGTACGCGATTCACTGGACTTCATATCGTATTTATCTATAAATGTTTTAAAAATGCTTTTTTAAATAATCGTTTTCTTCAGCCCTTACTTATGCTGACCAACATTTTTCGGCACTGTTGAAATAGCTGTCACCACACATGTTACTAATAGTCACACGTCACTATTAATACAAAATAAGTGCGTATTATTAGTGTCAAGGTTTACGTATTCAGTGTTAACGGGTATGATAAATAGAGTAAATAAATAAAATATAGTTATATTACGTTTGATACCGTGATCGGAGTCGATAGGTAAAATAATAATATATAGTAGCCACTAGCCATTATGTGTAACGCGGCTCGTTGAAGTATATAATATACAATAATCCAACAATTTGACACTGACCACTTCCTCTAATTATTAATATTACTATTTTTTTAAGTGTCAAAAATGATTTAAATAATTAAATAAGTAAGGCACTCGGCGTTGTTCCAAAGGACGTCCGGATCGCATGGGTGTCAATTGAGTTGCTCGCCAAACACCGCACGGCTGTAAGTCCAGAATGACAGTCATATTTGAACTCCGTTAAAAATCATTTATTTGAATAACATACAGTTATGTATCTAATATTATAGGAAATTGTATGGAAGAAAGGGATTTTTAGAAGTATGGTTCTATGTTGAATAGGTTATTCGGAGAATTACAAATCAATCTCATAATAATAATACGTAAGATCGGTGTTCCAACGGTTTACAAGTATAGAAAATATGGAAAACAACAAACGAAATGTATTTGTTTTAATTGTCCATTTTATCTTAATTATATATTGATCAAAATATTTAATACCTAATGTCAGTAAGTATTACTTATCGTTTTTTCATTTATTTGCATCATGACTAATATCGACCGAGTACACCAGCTTATACAAATAGTATATTAAAGTAATCAATTCAGTAGGAAATATCTGTTGATTATTTTACAATGATAGCAGTTTTTCTTAGTCATGTCTAATTCGTTGTTTTTCTAGTACTTTACCAAAATCGATAAACTTAAATAAATACCGAACAGCGTGTTATTATACATCTCACATATGTTAATAGTTTATTTTTTTTATAAAAAAAAAAGCTCAAATAGTACTTTTTTATGTACTAAACTAGTATAGTATTATATGAAGCGGATGATTTATGTACTGACCACATAGACAGTAGTTTAAGACGAGATAATTTAAGGGGTGACAAATTTGATAGATTCCTTTTTTACAATTTTAAAATATTATAATTTATTAGTATAAGTCGGTCTTTTGGGCGATAGAGCGCAAAATCTTTAAATCCGCCTCTAATCATTAGTTCCGACGTTTTAAGACGAGTCCAGGCCATATAATGACATGTAAAAATTGTATCATTGACATCAAAACGTGTAAAGGTTACTTACCTTCCATGACGTAGACGATGCTGCCCACGTCTCCTTCCTTGATGATAACGCTGTCCGCGGCATATTCCACGGGGTACATGCAGTCGACAATTTCTCTAATTTGGGTAGATTCCAAGTTTTTCATAAAGTCATTATCCAAAATCGCTCCCTTGATCAGTTCTCTAGATCTGCAATGATAAATTATACAAATAACTTAGGACGTGTTACAACGTATTATAAGGCGTATAAAACGAGTGTCATCCTGTTTAAAAAAATCGTTAAAAGTATACTAGGAAAGTTGTATACACTTTCATAAATAGAGTTGAGAGTGATACATAGCTGCGTTTATCTTGCTGCGTGACCGACTTTCGATAACCTAATGGTCGAGCGTAACATAATCATTTTCGATAGCATATTTAGTTAAATCGGACATAGTTTTATAATCTACTGACTACCATCGTATTTAACTTACGGAAATGGGGTTTCCTTAAGATAATGTGTTTTTCCCGTGAAATTATCAAGTTAAAAAATCGAGAGCCGCCAAATAACTTTTACAACTTCTATTATTGCAGTTTACTGTGCTCCGAAACCCTTTACAACAGCTACAATCACATCACTCCTATCATAGTTTCGTTTAAAGAGCACTTTCTTTTTATGGCCGCAATATTAATTTTTCTTAAAACTAATCTTTAACAGTAATACACATAATATATACTGTTAGTTAAAATTATATTATGACCACTGAACCTTTTTATTAAGATCACCATAAAAAAATAATAAAACATTGGGCAAATTTCCAGATACTTATGGGCGCAATTTTCCGTAAGTACTTTCGTTTTAATTAATTTAACGTATTTTGGCATAGACCGTTAAGTTCAAAAATAATATCGTAGTCATACACATTCGTTATAACTTAAATGTTAGTGTTAATTTAGTCACGCTCAAATCATAAAACGTAGCTCTTATATCATATTAGTGCAGTACCTTAGGCGGTCTTGAAATAAAATAATTTAAATTTAAACACGAACTGCAAGTATTTTGTTTGGAGTCGTATTTGAAAAAAAAAAACTCGATTATGTTAGTTTATCTGTCGGGACAATGAATGGCAATGGCCCAAAATAAACCGACCCTAACAGACATTGCTTATCTGGGGGGGGGGGGGGCTAAGACCTTTTGTAAAAGAAATTTTCAGTATTTTTTTTTTTTATATTAACTAATTTCATTTTATTAACATTTCTAATATTTTTTTACTAACCACAAAACTAACGATGTATTTATTATGGTTATAAAATATATGCGTTATAAAGTTTATTACAAGGAATTACTATAAGATACTTAATAAAGTTTTTAAGTAGTATGAAATTATTTTCTCTTAAGTTGTAAAAAGAGTGAATATGATTCTAAAAACA